GCGGCTGCTCCAAGTATACGGACGTAGAGTCTTCTCTTTTTCTGTTCTCTCTCCTGGAATAGCTGGCGGCGTCAGGGCAGGAAGAGATCTCTGGAAAGGGCCCTTCTGTTCGCTTCGTATAAAGTACTTTTCAGGGTCTTTGATATTTATGTTGTCCATGTTCTGCGTGGTCGACCTCTGGATCTGTTATCACTGTATTTGTATAGATTTGCTCTATGTGGTGCCCTGTCTGATCCCAATCTGTTACACGGCCAAACCATTTGATTTGTTGTCTACCGATAAAGTTCAGTATTGGTTCTGTGCTGACACTCCTCCTGATAAATCTTTCCTAAATCAATCTTTTTCACATAGTTCGTAAACATTTCGTTTCTGTCGTGATTATTTTCCTTCTGTCTTCTGAAGATAGTGTCCATGCTCGACACTGGTAGCATAGCGTTGGTAAGAATATTGTGTTGAACAATCGCATTCTGAGTGGAGTCTATTAATATGTTCCTGTATGCGCTGCTGTTGGTGCTATGATAGCCTGGTCATCGGCGAAAAGCTTTTCAATTAGTAAATCTCCGATGTTGTCCCCTTGCTGGTGTTAGCTGATTTGCACATTTGGTCGACGTATGTGATGAACAGTAATGGTGATAGAAGGCACCCCTGTCTCACTTCAGATCTAATGTAGAACTTTTCTGACATTCCCCCATCTGTTCAAATTGCGCATTAACTGTTTATGTATAAACTCTTGCACTATTTAATAAGGTGTTCATTTACTCCGTAATCCTGTAGTACTTTTATAATTCATGTCTATTAACTTAATCTTAAGCTTTCTCTTGGTCTACGCATGAGACGTGTAATTCTTTATCGAATTTTAGCGTCCTTTCCACTGTCTAAGTGCGAATATTGCACCAGTACAGCTTCTGTTCTTCCGAAATCCCATTTGCCCTTCACTAAGTTGTGGTTCGATGATAGGACGTAGCCTTTTTGTTCAAGGATCTTACAAAATTTTCCTGGTGAGGCTCAGTAACAATACTGTTCTATACGTCTCATAGTCTCTCTTGCTGCCTTTCTTCTTTAAGATGGGTTCTATTATTACGTTTCTCCAGTCTTCCTGTGTATCTTGTGTTGTCCGGACCTAGGTTGAATAATATGTACATCGATTTTACGAGCAAGAATTTAAAAAAAAAAAAGTAAGGGATCTTTTTCTACGCCATCAGAAGTATTGGGTACACATAGATATATCAGTGGCTCTCAACCTTCCTAATGCCTCGACCCTTTAATACAGTTCCTTAAGTTGTCGTGACCTCAACCATAATTTGTTGTTCGTTGCTACCTCACAGCTACAGTGAATATGTGTTTTCCTATGGTCTTTAGCGACCCCTGTGAAAGGGTCGTTTGACCCCCAAAGGGGTCGCGACCCACATATTGAGAACTGCTGGGCTGTATCTATGAATGTTCCATGTTATCATTTACCGGTACTGTGTCTACCATTGTTCTTAGTTCTTCAGTGGTGTTTCTGTTTCCTATGCGGTATTTTCCTCCCCATTTCTTACACACCTCTGCTCACGTATTATAATTGTCCAGGACTGTCCGTGGCTGGCTTTGATAACACAACGTTGGAACGTTGGAACTTTAAGAAGTGCTTTATAATCACTGGTACCTGCAATCGATCACTCTTATGGTAAAACAAAAATATCAGCATCAAATTGGTGTTTAGTTGGTAAATAATTATGACAGAGATAAGACAGGCGCAGTTAAGAAATTACCTGAGCATTATTTATTATTGATAAAAGCGTTCACGAGAGAAAGATCACAATGCGTGAAATCTCGAGAAGAGATGTCCGTGAAGCGATATGTTGCCGTCTAATAAATTATGCTTCTTGAGAAATAGCAGGTTTAATATAATACACTGATTACATACACAGACAGAAAAAAAAAGGCAGTTAAATGATCCATATGTAGCACTGGAACCTACCAGTCAATCAGGTGCCGACTCCAGAGTGAAGGTTGACTGCAATGGATCTCCAACACGCTCTGTCATTTGTCCCGGTTGTACACTATCTCAGTCTGAGCCCGTCGATCTCTTGATATTGTCCTCACTGTTGTATCGTAGCCTACCTCTTGCTCTCTTGCCTTTGACTTTTCCATAAAGTATGGTTTTTAAAAGTGTGTTATATCTTTTAATGTGGCCAAAGTATTTCAATTGTCTCTACTATGTGAGCAGAACAAAGGCTTACACAGGGCGAGGGGTCACAGAACAGATGGAGCCACATCAAAATCTTACAGCAAAACTTTATCCCATTGGTCTTAATATTGTGGGTGACTTTAATCGTTGGCGTCAAGAAATGAATTTCCCATGAGGGAAAAGAGACAGTCGAACGTTTGAGTCGGAGTCTTTATAACCGAACAATACCCTGACATATATTTGAAGTATAATGAAATGTATAAACTAACTTCAAAGATAATTTCTTCACATGGTTAAAGAAAGCATCCGTTACAAAATTTATTGTGTTTGGGAGCTCTCAAGGGCCTCAGCCATACCATCTGATACATGAGCTAGTAGACACAGTACCGGCATTTAAAAATGTGGTACTTTTTTAATTAATCAAGTAACAGAAAGTATATTGATCGGCACTCATAGAAAGAAGCAGAAAGATAGAAAAACACACTAGACAACATAAAAATCGAAAGCTATAGTTGCCCTGCCGAGAGCTGAACCTGTCACCTCCAGACGGCTTGTGCGCCTCGCCATGAATGCAAGTGCACTAAGAATATGGTCAATTAGGCAAAAAATGTGTCTTATTGGCCGTGTCTTTCGTACAGCTTGAAATCCACAACTATGGAATACGGACATATTTCATTTCAAACCATTGAAATAGCACCATAGGTTACATAAATTTATATTAACGAAGCATATGTCGAATAACAATCCTAGCAACAATTTACGAACACAGTACAACTTAATGCTTTGTCTAAATTTCTGTAACCTATGGTACTTTTTGGCGTGTTTTGGTACCTTTTGTGCTATTTCCTAAACACTTTCGGCAGCCCCGATCAGTTTAAAGGCGTATTGGGAGACCTGTTCTGTGCACAAACATTAGAGAGCGCCGATTTTACTTCCGGGTTGTTGATTGTAAACAAAACGATCACGAGATCTCCAGGCACATCACAAACAACACCTGCAGTGACAGAGATAGTCGTCCATTGCTCAAAACAATCTTTTATTGGGCGAGCAAGTATATTGGCTTATCTTTGTCATATTTCAGCAGAGTTGACATGAAGCTTTCATTTCTGCTTGTGTTTGTAGCATTCCACACAGGTCATCTGTCTTTTTCACAGGTAAAAAACCAAAACTAACTCGTTCGTCGTTCCATTTAAAATAGGATTATATTCCTTTCGATTGTCATTGTCAAGAAGATTTTTTCAAACAGAAATTTAGAAACTAAACTCTACCTTTATGCGTAACTTATTTTCCTTCGTTAAAAAAAAAAGTTTTAAGGTTGTTGTTGTTTATAATTAACACATTAATTATATCATTATAGTTAAAATAGGTACACTTAATTAAAAATGCATTTTATTTTTAATTTCACACAGTTCATGGCAAGTATCGACACTCGACCCTTGTACCTATCTACAAAACCAGGCTAACTGTCAAGGTCTTTGCCTGTGCTTTCCAGATTTGTTTTCTGATTATGTGCAGCTCATGTATGGAGATAATTTAGTTGTCTGTGATGGATCTCTACACTCTAACACTCTCTGCGTCCTGAAACAAAAAATAGAAGCATTCAACTTCTCATTATCACAAACAACAAATACACGTTGCTAGTAGAGTCTTCATCAGCACATTACATGAGTATACTAAAACGGAAAACTGTGATACAGAAAATACAGTACAAATTAGTAAGACAGGCACAGACAGACAGAAGCAGTTCTGGGAGGGCAGGACACATGAAAGAGATGGGCTATCCTCTGAAAAACTGTTCAAAATTATCGAGGCAAAAAATATACCCTAACAGGGCTTCCAGCGACTTAATTGCGGACTTCCCGCGACCACCGCTAAGAGTATCTCCCGCGCTGCTTTGCGAGAGCAGCAGCTACCGCATCTCCTGCAGCTTCCTTAATTTTAATTGCTCATGAGTCCCAGCCATCTAGTTAAGCCCCACTCCGCCCTGGGAGATACTCTCGGCGGTAGTCACCGTAAGTCCGCAATTTACATGTGACTGAGCCCCTGTTAGGGTATATTTTTGGCCTCGATAATTTGGGACCATTATTCGGAAGATAGCCAAGAGATGAAATTATTGAACTGCAGTTAAGCTATACAAAATATGAAAATATCATCATGTAGTAAGTCCTTTGCAGAACATCACTGTCATCGCAGTCTGCCTGAAAGGAACTCAGTCTCTAACTAGCTCTCCCACCTCGTGCCCTTTCATATTCAAGAAGTCCCTTATATCCTATGCCCATCATCTTCGTGTAGATGTACCCCTCCTTCCTGGTACTATGCCTTCTGCTCTTATTTTGTCCAGTCCGCCATGCATGCTCTCAAGATTTTAATTTTGATTTCCTTGCTGGTGCTTAACCATAGACTTTAAATACTGTTTAATCTTTGCTATGGCCATCCTCCTTTTGATTTCTCTCAACAGTCTCCACTGCCTTGAAAATATATGAAATCATATTAAAAGTAGAACTAGTCAGATTGTCATTATGACAAACACAAAAGACATATGAACGTTGTGGCTCTCGTCTTGGTTACACACTCTATGACTACCATTCAGTGATACTATTGTAAACATTAAGATGTTACATGGCCAGCCGTTTCAGTATTGTATCTCGAACATGCCTCATGTGCACCACAGTCTGCTGTTGTGCTTTATGAGCCTCTTGATCTTTATATATTCTCCTGCCTTCTTCACCGTTCCATTCAGTCTACACTGAGGGTGGATATTCCCTTCTAGCAGTATACTGCTTCTACTTGTATATAACAAGAATTAATGTCAACATTGCTACATCTGCAGAATGTCACTGTGACCTGTGAGAAAGGGAAATACCCTCCAGATCCAAAGTAAGTTGCCTATAGTTGTTGAGGCTTTGTGGGTGGATATTCCCTTCTAGCAGTATACTGCTTCTACTTGTATATAACAAGAATTAATGTCAACATTGCTACATCTGCAGAATGTCACTGTGACCTGTGAGAAAGGGAAATACCCTCCAGATCCAAAGTAAGTTGCCTATAGTTGTTGAGGCTTTGTAACAAATGGTCAAGTTATATTTGTATGTGCATATGAATGGGCATGCACACGTGGGAAGACCTTTAAAGTAACTACTGTACATGGGAGCGAGCATTGAATGGAAATGGGAGTAAGCTTGGAATAGAAAAGAGGAATTTTCCCACAGTGATATTGATGTTGTTCCACTTCTTGATAATATCACAGAGTGTAATCATATCATAGAATGCGGCTATGTGTGACAAGTCTCAAATCTGGCATAAGGTTATGTGTGACAAGTCTTGCATGGGGCTATATGTTACATGGGACTATGTGTGACAAGTCTTTAATGTGACATGCGGCTATGTGTGACATGTGGCTATGTGTGACAAGTCTTTAATGTGACAGGCAGCTATGTGTGACAAGTCTAGAATGTGACATGGGGCTGTGTGTGACAAGTCTTTAATGTGACATGCGGCTATGTGTGACATGTGGCTATGTGTGACAAGTCTTTAATGTGACATGCAGCTATGTGTGACAAGTCTAGAATGTGACATGGGGCTATGTGTGACAAGTCTTTAATGTGACATGCAGCTATGTGTGACAAGTCTTTAATGTGACATGCAGCTATGTGTGACAAGTCTTTAATGTGACATGCAGCTATGTGTGACAAGTCTTTAATGTGACATGCAGCTATGTGTGACAAGTCTTTAATGTGACATGCAGCTATGTGTGACAAGTCTTTAATGTGACATGCAGCTATGTGTGACAAGTCTTTAATGTGACATGGGGCTATGTGTGACATGCAGCTATGTGTGACAAGTCTAGAATGTGACATGGGGCTGTGTGTGACAAGTCTAGAATGTGACATGGGACTATGTGTGACAAGTCTTTAATGTGACATGCGGCTATGTGTGACATGCGGCTATGTGTGACAAGTCTAGAATGTGACATGGGGCTGTGTGTGACAAGTCTAGAATGTGACATGGGACTATGTGTGACAAGTCTTTAATGTGACATGCGGTTATGTGTGACATGCGGCTATGTGTGACATGTGGCTATGTGTGACAAGTCTTTAATGTGACATGCGGCTATGTGTGACAAGTCTAGAATGTGACATGGGGCTATGTGTGACAAGTCTTTAATGTGACATGCGGCTATGTGTGACATGGGGCTATGTGTGACAAGTCTTGAATGTGACATGGAGCTGTGTGTTACAAGTCTCATTGTTTGAGAATTGCTGTTGTAGTTGAACACAGGTGTTGGGTAATGGGGGAACACTTTTTGGCCAATAAACAATATCATTTCTTGGAAACTAGAAGACTTCAGCCCTAGAAAATGTCGCTGTACTTTAGAAAGAATAGTCATGGAAAGCTGAAAAATGGCTCTCAGAATGGTTACAATATTGACTGCCATGCTGGAGACCCATGTTCCACCCAGAGTAATATGATAAGCATTTTTCTGCCTGGAGCAAAAATCATCCTATCCTACACAGTCTGTGGCAGCAGCACTAGCCATGGTGCCCAAAACCTCAGGCTCATGACTTCCAATCTTTACTGCCCCCCCCCCCCCCCCCCCCCTCCAAAAAAAAAAGGTGGTAAACAGTAAGGGGAATCATGGATTCTGGAAGATGAATCAGGGACTAGCCAATATAGTGTTAGACCAGTCAGAAGAACGGATGAGAAATCAAAGTTCCCTTCCTTGGACCATGATCATCTTAGCATTTGCCGGCTATAAATTCTTGCAGAAAATTCTGGTTGGTCATCCACTTCTGTAGTTTGTAGATTTTGATTTTTGCATGCACATTCATTTTACAGATCTGACTTATTTGTATTCAGACTGTTGGTTCCTCACGTCTCAGGCAGATGTGCTCCTACTTTGGGTCAATTCTTGTTTCTCCCTAAATATGACCCCAGATCCCACACAGGTAGGGCTGTGATAAGGACAGTGTTCTGTATAGAACATGCTGCATGATGATTGAAAGCTGCAGCAGTTATAATGTTCCTAATTGTTATCAGGGAGGACCAAAATGGGGGCATTCAGACAGAGCTAGCTACTCAAAAAGCTGCAGCAGTTATAATGTTCCTAATTGTTATCAGGGAGGACCAAAATGGGGGCATTCAGACAGAGCTAGCTACTCAAAAAGCTGCAGCAGTTATAATGTTCCTAATTGTTATCAGGGAGGACCAAAATGGGGGCATTCAGACAGAGCTAGCTACTAAAAAAGCTGCAGCAGTTATAATGTTCCTAATTGTTATCAGGGAGGACCAAAATGGGGGCATTCAGACAGAGCTAGCTACTCAAAAAGCTGCAGCAGTTATAATGTTCCTAATTGTTATCAGGGAGGACCAAAATGGGGGCATTCAGACAGAGCTAGCTACTAAAAAAGCTGCAGCAGTTATAATGTTCCTAATTGTTATCAGGGAGGACCAAAATGGGGGCATTCAGACAGAGCTAGCTACTCAAAAAGCTGCAGCAGTTATAATGTTCCTAATTGTTATCAGGGAGGACCAAAATGGGGGCATTCAGACAGAGCTAGCTACTAAAAAAGCTGCAGCAGTTATAATGTTCCTAATTGTTATCAGGGAGGACCAAAATGGGGGCATTCAGACAGAGCTAGCTACTCAAAAAGCTGCAGCAGTTATAATGTTCCTAATTGTTATCAGGGAGGACCAAAATGGGGGCATTCAGACAGAGCTAGCTACTAAAAAAGCTGCAGCAGTTATAATGTTCCTAATTGTTATCAGGGAGGACCAAAATGGGGGCATTCAGACAGAGCTAGCTACTAAAAAAGCTGCAGCAGTTATAATGTTCCTAATTGTTATCAGTGAGGACCAAAATGGGGGCATTCAGACAGAGCTAGCTACTCAAAAAGCAGCAGCTGCTAGATTTTTCCATGCTACAAACCGATGGTTTCTTAGCAAAAGAGCAATTGGCCAGAGGACAAAAATGCCTGTTTACCGCTCTGCCTGTGTGCCAGTCGTAACCTTTGAGTGTGAGTCATGGGCAATGACAACAGCTCACAGAAGCCAGACTCAGAAATAAGATATCTGAGAAAGGGGGTCTTATGTACAAAGTTTGCAATCAGACAATGCTTCAAGATCTTGAAATCCAGGCCTCACAAACTCAAGTGGATCAGTCACAGTTATGATGGTTTGGACATACATGCAAAATGAGAGAAAATCTGCCACCAGGCAAGGGAATGCGAGTAATCAGGGAACCAGACCTCCAGGGTGACCCAAGGTCTACTAGAAAGACAACATCCAATACTCCCTGACTGACAGGACTCAAAGGTAACAAAGCTTCACAGAAAGCTGCAGATAAAGAAATCTGGCGATCTCTGACCCCAGGATGGAAGAGGAGCGACTAAGTTATCTGTGAGAAGAAAGGATTGGCGGAACCACAATAAAGAGACATAGTGAGGAACATGATGATGATGATGATGACCATCTTCGTCAGGTAGCTCGTATGTCTCTTTGTTGTGGTTTCTGCTGATTCTTAATAATATCACATACTTTCTTCCACTTTTGCCATTAACTCTTTGAGTCGCAAGGAACGCATCATACGTTCATAGATTCCTACCTAGAAGCCCAATGAACTCAGGATGTGCCTATTTTACGTCTCTCTTTACTACCTCTTGGGCCTGTCATGCTAAACCCCCTGGGACTCAAAGAGTTAAGCATCACGGTGAAGAATATTTGGTTACCCAGTGCTCACTGTCTGTACTGCCATTGTCATTCCTTTGGAATGTACAGTGTCTTAACTGACATTAATCCACTGTCTTCCTGTGCACTTTTGCTCTCTACTAGATACGCTGAAATCACACCTTTATTGGTAACTGCTGCTGTTTCTAACAAAGATGATGATAGTGATGTTATAAACTGAATATCACTGAAACATCAGTTTTGTGCATCTTAAGAAAGTAATAACCAGTGAATGGTTCGTTTTCCCATCTGGTCTCAGAGCTGGTTTGTGAGTGAGACACAGAGAAATCAATAGACCAATTTGAGCTAGCCACACCACATGTGTTTGTCTCTGGGGAGAAATGGATAACATCTTTCTTAATTGCTTCACAAGCTTGAACATTGGCAGATAAAGAAAATTACAGAATTTCTGAACATCTGCAATGTTTTAAATTTGTGTCTAGTTAGTTTGTATAATTTCCCAGCTGGTTGCAGTATTAGAGCATTTACACATATTCAACTGTCATTATTATTTTCTAAAGGGTCTGATGATGTTAAAGGGAATTAAAACTGAATTTTCTTCTTCACTTTGTTTTCATTATTATCAATTTCCACTTCTGCTATTAAGCTTCGTTGGGAGAAACAGTTTGCGATCCATTGCTTGATGGGCAGCAATGGCTATTGTCATTCCTTGTCAGTGTAAAAGCTCTTTAATATCATCAATCCATATTCTCCTAGTGTTGCCTCTTGCTTTCACTTCAGATCTGCGTTGGTAGTTGTTCTGGCTACGTTCTTACTAAATGACCAAACCATTTGATTTTCTGTATTTCAGTGAATTAGTTGCATGATGTTCCTACGGACTGTCTGATAATATTACTAACTTTTTCTTGGATGGTTAAGTTGGCATATTTTCTCAGGCATCTCATTTCACAGGTGTTAACTTTACATAGGTTAGCCTTTGATGATGTCCAAGTCTGGCACTGGTAGCACAGTGTTGGTATGAATATGCTGTTTATAATCTGTTTCTTATTGCTCATACTTATGTTTGAATGTCTAAATAATGGTGTCAGTTGGTATATGAATGCACTTGGTCATTGACATCTTGTTTCTGTTTCCTGATCTATTTTCCCATCTACCGAGAATATACTTCCTAGATATTTAAATTCTTAAACTTGCTTCAGACAAGTAACATTCGATCCAATATGTAGCAGACTAGTTTTCTTCACTGTGTCCTATTTTCTGTAATGTTCTGGCTTTTCTGGCTAAATTACAGGTTGCTGTTTTTTCCTACCTAATGGTTTCTAGCTTTTTTTTGTTTTCTTGGTAGTTGCTCCAGATTGTTATTTCCAGGTTGCTATTACAGAATGTTATTTCTAGGTTCTTATTTGTAGATTATTTGTTATGAGTGACTGTTTTTGTGGTGATTTGTTTCTGTGTAATTGATTATCTGTTGTTATTTTGTTTGATTCTCATCTTCTATGCCCATTATTTGTTAACTAAGTCAAAATGTAATAAGATAATAAATATAAATTTGTGACCCAATAAATAAAAATAAAAAAAAGTTATTGCTTTTTTTGCCTCAGAAGTAAAGCCCTACCTCCCTTTTCCCTAGCAAAGGCCACGGTTATGTATTTTTCCACTGATATCACATGGCAGAATGATTGGCTTCAGGTTAGCATTCTGTGGCCAGCTTTAGCAGCCATACTTGAGAATGCATCATCATCATCAGTGTGGCAGGTCTTCTGCAGAAGGTCACTCTCACCACAGCATCTTGGAAATGTGTCCACATGGTGGTCATCCCCTGCCTCTTCTTTCATGAACCATACCTTCCATTGTAGTACTCTCTAAAGCAATATGGTATTTGTGATAAAGTTGTTTGCACTATTGCTGATTGCCGCAGCTCTACTTATTAGATTGTTGTATTTACCTGGGTCTTGCACTCGTTCTACCATCTAGGAATTATAACACACAAACGATGCTCAGTTTCCATTGTACCGGCTATCAGTTTATTCTTGCACATTCTAAGATACATGCTGACGATTGTTCACACATCCATATCTTCCAACCAACTATTAACACTAGTCATCCACACAACGTTGGAACTATCTCCTTTAATAATACTACATCTTCTAATAAGACAACTGACTTCCTTCAGTTCTCTGATGCGACTGACCACGAGTCTAGCTTTGGCTTGCCCACGTCTACTCAACTGGCCCCAAGTATCCCGTGCGGTCACTTGGTGCCTGGGTTTCCTGCCTGGCTCACTATATGCATGGAGAGCATACGAAGCACCTTGTCACAGCATTAAATATGACTAGTATTATGTTTACAAGAAACTGTTTTGTGAACCAACCTTTCTTGATATTCATATCATGAAGAATGTTAGTGAGCACGCGGATAGCAAAAAAAAAAAAAAAAAATATTAATATCTAGTCATTGCCTTGTGGGATGCAATTTTTTGTTAATTGAAACCCTACTCTGACTCTTGCCAGGGGCTGCAATATAGCCTGGTCATAAATATGGTCTAATGGCTGAACGCAGTTTCTGGGACCTCTCCACGGGCAATCCTCATCCACATGGTGGCACTTTGTGTCATCAGGTGTTTATTGCTTGTTGGATGTCCTGGTAGGGTAAAAGAAGATAGATAGAGAGTTAGACAGCCAAAGATTACCAATGTCCAGATACGGATATACTGTTTATTTTGAGAAGGCAGTGAAATTATGGGTTGACCCACTTTGTCTGAACAAGTAACTTGTCAAGACTGTTAACAGATAATTACTTTTAGAATACAAAGGGACATAATTTCCCAGTTGAAGGGAGTTACTCCTCCTTGAATGTGCTAGATTGGCCAGATTAAGAAAAAATTTTTTTTTAAATATTTCTCACTGAGTTGTGGCTAAAACATTAGGACTACAAATTGTCTTTGCCCTTGTTTCTTATTATTGTAACTCAAGTTACCAAGATAGTGTTTGAAATGTATTGAATTAATTGATAATTGTTAAGATCAACAACTACATTTAGTCAATTTGGTCTTTGCTTAGAACAGTTATAATGGAACATGAATAATGTTCATGTATGCAAATTTAAGAAATGTTGATTTCACCTTTCTCAGCATGCTCTTTGATTTGTTACAATCTGCTCTGTGATTTGTTACAATCTGCTCTGTGATTTGTTACAATCACGACATGCATGTGCAGTTGGTTTCCAATCTGGTGGAAGGTTTTAATGACTCCCTTCTCCTCCATTCTCAAACTAGATGTTGTGACATCATATGCCAGACTTTTTTGCACTAAGTGACCTCCATTGGCTTTTGCTATGAACCTACATGCACTTCTTCTGCCTCTCAACACAGAAACATTTGTATAGATAATCACGTCACCTAGGTGGGAATTGTTATCTGAATCATTTGTGGAGCTTCTGATTCTGCAGCACTCTAATCATTGATTATCATTGAAGGCAACTCTCTAACAATATATTGATCTAGCCATATCTGTTATAATATCTAGTCATGTCTCTAACAATATATTGATCTAGTCATATCTGTTATAATATCTAGTCATGTCTCTAACAATATATTGATCCAGTCATATCTGTTATAATATCTAGTCATGTCTCTAACAATATATTGATCTAACCATATCTGTTATAATATCTAGTCATGTCTCTAACAGTATATTGATCTAGCCATATCTGGTATAATATCTAGTCATGTCTCTAACAGTATATTGATCCAGTCATATCTGAAACAAAATATTGATGTAGTTATTTCTCAACACACATACAAAAATTTAAATTTTGATCTAATGATTTCTGTGACAGAATATTAATCTAGTGATTTCTGTAACAAAATATTGATCCGGTCATTTTGTATTATTTTGTGTTGAGGCACAATGATTACTCAGTTTTTTTCAAATATTCAAGATGGAGTATTTATCTGATCCATTAGAACCCAAGTTGGGACATTTATAATCAACCTTGACCTGCCTCCAGAACAGAGATGGACCAATCTTGCCAAAGTCATGGCTCCAAAGGTATGGTCATGTTTCTTGTTTGAAATTATGTTCATTACACCGTGTTTGATTTCAAGTTTTTTTTATTATGTTTAAAATCATGTTTAAAGCCATAATGTTAGTGAATCATAATTATGATTTGTGTTTTAATTTGAAAAATGGTTTATTGTTCTCTTACATTATAAATATTAGCTTCATAGTAAAGTAAAGGACCCTTTTCCACGCCTGTAGGCATATAGGGCTAGACCTATATTTTATAGACCAATCAGCACAATTCCAACACGAGCATTTGTTGCCTGTTTGGTTGTAGTAAGCAATGCAACATTTAGCTTTTACCATTGCTTTCTAAATGGTTCAATGCTAATACCACTGTCAATTTCAGTATAAAGCAGTCTGCTATCAGACTGCCTTCATACCCTGGTATGTCATCATCACATATCAGAGAAATACTGTGTATGGAACAAAGCAACAGCTGATGAACACTTATATGCATTAGGCTGCACTTGTCATTGGGCTAAAGGGAAGCAGCAATATTGCCTCTGAATTGATAAAAAGAACATTCATACCTGTATACAAACACACCTGTAAATAAAAGAGCTTATACGTTGACTGGATCCACTATCACTTCTGACAGTCAACCTATGAATCATGCTGATTTATTAATGTCCTCAGAGAATTTGGGAGGTTGGAGGACTTAAAGAGCAGGGAATCAACATCACTTGCTAGAATGATAGATTCTGGAGTTAAGGTGGGCATAAAAAAAAAATAACGCATACCATGCACATCAACATAGAACTGGTACTGTCAGCCACCAGATGCTGGAGTTCATAATGAGAGGAGAATCTGAGCACCTATGGACATGTCTAGAGTGCAATGATGATAACCCAACTAAACTACCTAACTTAACTAACATGTTTTTACAGTGATAGAAGACTGTCTAATCTAGTGTTTGTCCATTTAAAGCAATCTACATTTTGTGGTTCATTATTTGTTAATGTAACTCTTTAGTAAGGTATCTGACCAGATACAATGAAATATGCTAGGCAATAAATTGTTTGTTCATTATCATCATCATAATCCACTTCTGCTGTTAAGCGTCGTGGGGGAAAATAATTTACGATCCAGTGCGCGCTAGCTGCCACTGGTTATTTTCATGCCTTGAAGGCGTAGAGTGTCTTTAAATATAACAAGATGGCTAAACCACTTGATCTGCTGTTTCTCAATGAATCTAATACAAGATGTCGTTCCCCCAATTTATTTGATGGTATCATTATTCACTCGATCTCCAATAGTTAGGTTAGCTGCTTTTCTCAGGCATCTCATCTCGCAGGTGGTGATTTTGCGTATATGTGTCCATGTTTGGCACTGGTAGCTTAGTGTTGGCATGAATATGCTGTTTATAATCTGTCTCCTTGCACTGATAGTTATGTTTGGATGTCTTAATAATGGTGACAATTGGTAAATAAGTGCACTTGCTTTCTGACATGTAGTTTCTATTTCTCTGTCAGTTCTAAATTTTTTGTGTCCACTTTATTTAAAGACTTTCTAATCATCAAATCCAGTCCATTTCTTTCCTGGATTATGAGTGTCTGAACACATGGACATTGGTTGTTTCTTGACTTTTCAGATCCAGCTGCTTCTGGACAGCTTCAAACAGTACGTCAGGGACTGGACCAAGGCTGCAGATTTCATCATTCATTTTGTGGATACCAAGGGTGTATGTTTTCATTTATTTGTTATACTTATCTTTATGTGGACACCACAGGTATATGCATTCTTTGGGTAATGGTACATGATTTTAAGGGAATATAAATACTTTGGTGGAAGTATGTGCAAATGAAAAGGCTTTTTAAATGTAGGCAGTCTTAGTTCTCTTAATGTATACCTAGAAAGTATGTAATGTTTTTTTTTATGCCACACTTCTGTACACAGGCACAGAGGAACCATATACTTCTTGTGTGTTGTAATATATGTTTCTGTACGTATGAAAGCTGCCAGGTTTCTCTGCTTCTGTAGTATATACAGAGACAACTAACACAACCAGAAAGTATGTGTGTGTACATGTATGCCTGCATATGTATTATATATAGAGACAACTAACACAACCAGAAAGTATGTGTGTGTACATGTATGCCTGCCTAAGTAGTATATACAGAGACAACTAACACAACCAGAAAGTATGTGTGTGTACATACATGCATGCCTGCCTATGTAGTATAAACAGAGACAACTAACACAACCAGAAAGTATGTGTGTGTACATGTATGCCTGCCTAAGTAGTATATACAGAGACAACTAACACAACCAGAAAGTATGTGTGTGTACATGTATGCCTGCATATGTAGTATATATAGAGACAACTAACACAACCAGAAAGTATGTGTGTGTACATGTATGCCTGCCTAAGTAGTATATACAGAGACAACTAACACAACCAGAAAGTATGTGTGTGTACATGTATGCATGCCTAAGTAGTATATACAGAGACAACTAACACAACCAGAAAGTATGTGTGTGTACATACATGCATGCCTGCCTATGTAGTATAAACAGAGACAACTAACACAACCAGAAAGTATGTGTGTGTACATGTATGCCTGCCTAAGTAGTATATACAGAGACAACTAACACAACCAGAAAGTATGTGTGTGTACATGTATGCATGCCTAAGTAGTATATATAAAGACAACTAACACAACCAGAAAGTATGTATGTGTACATATATGTATGCCTGCCTATGTAGTACATACAGAGACAACTAACACAACCAGAAAGTGTGTGTGTGTACATACATGTATGTCTGCCTATGTAGTATATACAGAGACAACTAACACAACCACAAAGTAAGTGTGTGTACATGTATGCTTGCCCGCGTGGTTATTTTTAGCTGTTACATTGCTGTCAGGAAGACCACAATGGATGTGTCTTTTATTTGTGATGTGTATCGTCTAGCTTCAAAAGGTTCCATAATTTGTCATGAAAAAAAAAACAACAACAGTATGTACATTGTGTTTATGTACGTTTAATTTAATTCAAAATAACTCACTTCTACACCTTCACTTTTTTCTAAACATTCCTTCATGACTTTAAAACTATCTTTTAACCAGTTTTAAAAAAAATAAATTTTTTTTGTCAAACATCTGTCTTAGCCGCAGATAATCTATTGGACTGAAGATGTCAAGAAGACGTCAGATCACTGCAGCATAAAGTGGGTTGTACAAAAGTAATTGCGTAATAAAGTAACATGTATGTTCTGGTTTGTTTTCATGGCTTAATTTTCACTCTAGCTCTGTTTGATTTTAGGGATCCTTGGATGGAACTCTTCCTTACCCATTTGCTGGTGAAATCAAAGGCTTTGCTCAAGACAGTGGCATTAATCTTGGTTTGTATATGAAGAATAATTCCCTACCAGCTCTTATCTTCTTCTTCTTGTAGTGTCATTCAAAAGCTCAGAGGAAGTATAGGGTCTTTCAATGGCTGTGCTTCTGGCTTCATACAAACTGGTGCAGTACCTTTACCATAGGAGACTGGCCTGAAGATCTGGGTTAAAAAAACAACATCAGGATGGATTTGTTTGTAATTTACCGTGGCTCTCCAGCTGATCAAGCTTAAAATAGGTGCCAAGAAATTTCATGGGAGGAAAAGGTGGTCAGAGTATGTTGCCCACAATGCCCAAGGAATAACAAGTGGTATATAGAAATAAGGGTGAAGCACCATAGGCCTTACTCTACTTACTGTGATGATTCTCTTGTTTTCCTGTCACTTGGAAACTTGCTTACCCTCTGTGAACTAGTTTTTTTAAAAATCCTGACTTGAGTTGAATTTATTCAACAAACGACATCACAGCACTAGGAACATTCCCATAAGCACTTTATCCCCATCTTCAGCAGCTAGCGCAGAGTTCCAATACCAGTGGTGCCGGTAACAGTCTGATTATGTGTCTGTCTTGCCTTTCCTCTGAGTGTAGGGTATTGGCCAGATTCCCTCATCACTCTCACCAGACTGAGATAATCAGTTTGCTGTTCCGAATTATACACATGCTCACATAAGGTATTAACATCATCTGCCTTATCATGCATCGACATTCCACCAAGTTGTAAGCTAGCCAGTCTGTCCACCTGTTCATTTCCCAACACACTGGCATACCCCGGAGAAAAAGGTTTCAACAGTGCTCTTTACTTGTGATCTCAGAAATGAAGCAGACCTCTCTTCCTGAAGCATACCTCTCCTCACCTTCCCCAGCATGCTTTCTGAGTCAGTTACAGTCACAAAGTATGTGTTTATCGTGTTTTCAAGCCAGCAGAAAATCCATTGATCCTTGGTTTGGCTGTTTACTTTATACTTTTTTGATATGACATCCGCAGTTTGTGATACTCCATCTGTTTACTGTTTCCAGCTTTCAAGCTGTTATAATATCCGGTGCCTACTCACCTCACCCTGTCCAGACTTGAGGTTACTTTGTAACCATCGGGGGCCCCCAGTGTAACCTTACGGTTGAATGGAGTTTCTGGATTTGTACTTGGGGGATTCTCTTCCTAATATTGGCACTTTGCTTCACCAGGTGTAAATTGCTCAATGTGCAGATCTAGTGGGGTTAAACTTTACTCATTATAATGAAATGTGCTTTGCTTCTTTGAAGTAGTTTCTGTTGGTATAATTGGTGCATAACTGAACCACCTGATTTGATATCCTTGGTGCATAACTGAACCACCTGATTTGTTGTTTCCGAACATAATTTAGATCTGTCATTGTTACCAATTGCCTAATTTCTTCATTTTTAATTTTGTCTTAGTTTGCAAATTCTAGGCTTCTGAAAATAAAGAATACTCTATGCGTTCTATCTTTGTCAACTGAAGTCAGAAAGAGTAATCACAGAGTTAACTAGAAATAGTTCTGAACAGAACTAAATCAATGACAGTGAGCAGATTAGTGAAAAATGTGCAAGCTATAGAGATGTGCTTTTATAAACAAATGAGGAATACCCATTGACAAATTAAATGTTTAATGAGGATTTACTGCCAGAAGTTAACTTATAAAGAGAACTGACTGCCTGTGTCAAAAGGAGACACAATATTCTCTAGTCACACAAGAGGAAAGGAAAAACTAGAATCTAGAGACTTGAGGGGAGATGAAGAGAGGAGATGCTTGACAGCTGGGCACCATGGCATGAAGGAACATCATGTCAGCAGTTATTGAAAGTACACGAGACAGAAGGCTGTGCCAGTTTCACACAGCGTAGATTTTGAGAAGATGATGATGCTTCTCAGTCATCAGTTTTTACTTTTTTCCAGTTGCCCCTTTTCCTTTGCTGTAAATGTCTATGTCGGGCATTGGTAATATAGAACTGGGAAAGAATGTTGTTGTCAGACTTTGTTGTTATTCAGTGGCACATATTTTTTTTTTAGACCTGCTGAACTCTGCATTATCTATTTTGTTACATCATTTGTGCATTTCTCTCCCCTGTTTCAAGTTGATTTTGTACTATCTAAAAAGTTCAAATCTTCAACTGGTCTTTATGTCCCTCACTTGTAATCCTTGATTTCAGGCCCTCTTTTGCAGTTGTCCATTTGGTTTACCCAGAATTTATTTTCAGTGGCTTGGGTGCTGTTTCCACAGCGCAGTTTGGCTGCATTGGATTTTCATCACTGTCAGCCTCTTGCCTGGTGTGCACTCTCGGAGGCTGTTGTTTGTCCATCTATTGATGTTATCCTTCAGTTTTTATTGGGTTTCTTTGTCTTATCTCTTGCCCATATGCCTTCAACTATTCCCTTCATTAGAATGTTTTTAAGGGGCGTTAAGTCTTCATATTTTTTCAAATATAAATGTTTGAATGCCCAAATGTTTCCTTATGACTGTAGCTGATCAGATTGTTTTGGTCAGAGGGCTGGATGTTGGATCAGGTCTTTGTACCACAGGTCTAGCTTTTTGTTTATTCTTTAATCTTGTTTTTGAGAGTTAAACCCATGGTACATCTTTCCTTTGTCCTCTGTGAGTCATTAGTTGTTGGTGTGATTCCAACTTTATGGCAACGGGTTGCATTGTCTAGTTTCTATTCCAGTGAACACCACATAAAATAACAAAACATAACCCCATGACCCATTAGGGTCGTGGAAGTGTATCAATGGAAGCACCAGAACACAAAACTCACAATCTTTGTTTTGTTTGTTTGTTTAACAAGCATATAATAATTTAGTCCTGTCCATTTCTTGATAATGTCATTACAAATTTCCCCCCACCCTTTCTTTAACTACCCACACTAATATGATCATTGTTTCCTGTGAAAAGTTAACTGTAGTAGTGAGTCTGAAAAGTGTGACATAATAACTTATTAGAATGGAGGGCATGGTAGAACAGTGGTTAGACATTTGCCTGCTGGCCCACAGTCTGAATCAGCACCAGGCCGCTTTGGAAGAAATTTACTTTTGATCCCAGGTTGACCCAGCCTAAAATGGGTACCAGGAAATTTTCGAGAAGTAAAGGCGACAGGCATGATGTTGATCGTGTCGCCCACCACGTGGTCAATAAAATTATGAGCCTACCATTGTATGCATAATGAAAAAGTTCCTTTTCTTTTCTGAGTGAAAAAGCAACAGTTTAACATGTTTCCTCCATTTACCTTGACACAGGTGAGATGTTGCTGTACAATATCTTCTATGAGCTGTTCACCTTGTGCACATCCATTGTTGCTGAAGACCCTAGTGGTAAGAACACGATACTTTGTTAAAGTTTCTTCAGTTTTTCAAATGCGACAGTGAGTGTATTTTCATTTGATATGCACTGGCACAGGCACAGAGCAAGTATAGGGAAACCCAATTGCAGTAAAGTAGAAACCTCGACTGAGACTAAGACACAGGATTGAATGAAATAGAGGAATAGACTGTGAGCCCAATGTGACATATAAGGGCACAAGAGGACAATAAACATGATGATGAATACAGTATGGTCATGACACAGTGCATTGATTATACATAACATATGTATCTGATGCAAAAATATGTTATAAATAATCTTGCTTGGGTTTTGTTCCTGTCTTCTCATGATTCATATCATGTGTTTAGTGTCATCGTCTCTGTTGTCAACCCTCTATATTGTTTTCTTCTAGACTGTCAAAATTCTTCTCTCCTGTCCCCTTGCATTTTGACCCCTTCAACTGTTGTTATGACATTTTTGAGTTTTCCCCCTTTTTATGAGAAACCTAAAATATGTGGATTGCTTTCTTCTTATGCAAGTAATCAGTTTTCTTTGAGTCAACTGCTTTCAAGATGTCTTTTTTACACTTCATATTTGTCCTTTGTTGTCACAACATTTTTCTGTAGAACTTCAGTGTACAGGAAACCAAACTGAGATGAGCAAATGTTTTAATGTACACACTGACATTTTATTTATGATAACCATTCCATTCTGTCTGTTTTTTGTTTGTTTGTTTGTTTGTTTGTTTGATAGCACTTAGATAACTGCCCAAAAAATCAGATATCAGTCTTTTTACTTCACTGTATTTTGGTATACAGGAGCACTTTATCATGGCAGAAACCTCGACTTTGGACTTTTTCTAGGGTAAGTTGTGGCTTTTGGAATGTTTAATGTGTTAGTATTGAAAGTTTAATTGAGAATTCACATTACAGAACTCAGGACATTCATGAATGCTCCATGCTTATCTTCAAGCAACAAGTGCAGAGTTCCAATTCTGATGATACCAGTAACAGTCTAATTGTATATCTGTGTTGCCTTTTTCCTAAGTATTAAGCATTAGCCAGGACCCCTGGTGACCCCTCTCAGCATCATTCCCCTCACATCTTGATGATCCATCTTGACCTTTAGAATTTTTGTTGGGATATTTTGAACTTTAACAACTTTATAGTGATAGCTGTGACCTGTAGGATTTTGTGAAGGGTAAAGCTTTTACCAACATCAATGTCAGTCATGGTACCAGAGCTTAAAAATCCTCAAGTTAAACACGGAAATGTAAGCACAACTAATGACACGACGGCTTATTTTTAGGTTACAGAACAGATTGTTTTCCAGGGAAGAAATAACAGGTAACAAGATAACATTAATGCAGTGTAGGTAGCAGGCATTGACCAAATTATGTGCCAAATCAGAACCCAATAGCTCCTCTTTTATTCCCTCTGTCCATAGTTTGCATGATCAGCCTCTGCTTCACTTCCTGCCTGGTCTCTACATCATTGCTTGCTGTGGTACACTGTTTGTTGGTGTCCGTATTATGTGGCCAAACCCTTTCACTTGTTTTAAAATCAAATTCAGAGCTGCCTCTACCTCTAATTTCCTTAGATTTAATGTTTCTGTTCTTGTTATTTTAAAAGTTCTTTGCGGGAATCTCATTTTAGTTGCAATTTTTCTTTGTTGTAATTTTTCTTTTCTCTTTTTCTGTCATTTTTCTGTCCAGGAGTTTGAGTCATTGTTCAGGCTTGGTATTGATAGCACATGGTTGGCCAGGAGATTAAGTCATTGTTCAGGCCTGGTATTGATAGCACAGGGTTGGCCAGGAGATTGAATCATTGTTCAGGCCTGGTATTGATAGCACATGGTTGGCCAGGAGATTAAGTAATTGTTCAGGCCTGGTATTGATAGCACATGGTTGACCAGGAGATTGAATCATTGTTCAGGCCTGGTATTGATAGCACATGGTTGGCCAGGAGATTAAGTCATTGTTCAGGCCTGGTATTGATAGCACAGGGTTGGCCAGGAGATTGAATCATTGTTCAGGCCTGGTATTGATAGCACAGGGTTGGCCAGGAGATTGAATCATTGTTCAGGCCTGGTATTGATAGCACAGGGTTGGCCAGGAGATTGAATCATTGTTCAGGCCTGGTATTGATAGCACATGGTTGACCAGGAGATTAAGTCATTGTTCAGGCCTGGTATTGATAGAACAGGGTTGGCCAGAAGATTGAGTCATTGTTCAGGCCTGGTATTGATAGCACAGGGTTTACCAGGAGATTGAGTCATTGTTCAGGCCGGGTATTGATAGCACAGGGTTGACCAGGAGATTGAGTCAATGTTCAGGCAGGGTATTGATAGCACAGGATTGGCCAGGAGATTGAGTCATTGTTCAAGCCTGGTATTAATAGCACAGGGTTGGCCAGGAAATTGAGAGCTCTTTTGGTTTCTGCTGAAACATCTTTGTTTCTCAGTGTTGGTGCCATTCGCTCAGTGGCACATGTGTAGGTGCATTCATTTCTTCTTCCATCTTGGGAAAACTGCTTCTAAAACTATTGAAGGGATGCAGTCTGTTTCTAGAAAGTCTTGCTGATATCGATAAAATACATTTGAGTAGTATTCCTATTTAAATAGTGGGTGCTGATCCTTTGGAGGCATCAGGGCACACCATTCACCTTCCACACAGACCAGAAAATGCCACATGAGCAGAAAAACAATGTCCGACTACTAAAGAGGCTGAAACAATTGTTTGGTAAGTGCCAGATAATGGTAACCAACGATTTTCAAATCAGAAGCTATCTAGGTATCTATTTTTGTCTTCTTCTTGGTGTTTTTTCCCCCAATACTTTTGCTAGTTTTAATCAGTTTTCTTTCTGTTAAAAAAATTCTGGACTGCTATGGTCATGACACTGCATTTTTTAAATTGATCCCTTTTTTTAAGCTTTTAATAGAGAAGTTTATTCTGTGATAACTTTTTGAAATGACTAGAAAAATGGACAAACCCAGGGGCATACTCACAGACATGCTTGATGGTAGCTCAAGCTTGTCACAGACAGGGCATATAGTGCAACAACAAGCTGAGTGAGCAAGCTCAAATGTGGGGGGAGGTTGCCTTCATCTGCTCTCTTCATGAAACCCAGAATAACCACTGCTGGGATAAATCCGTATTAAAAAGTGACTCTTGACGATCATGATCAAGGTTATCCATTCTTTAGACTCAGGAGTCATGTCTGCCAGTATGTGATGAGAGAATGAGACTTGTTTTGCCAGTGTTTGATGTATTAAAACTTGTTTATGATCTGATCTTCGAACTGAAGTCTGTCTCACGTATTGTTGACCTCTAATTTTGTTATATATCTTGCTCTCTAAATAATAAATCAGCTGACATTACCCACCTTCTGCTGTTATAATCTATAGATTTCATGTGTTGTTGTCTAATGGTTTTAATGAATGGCATGGAGATGCCTGTAACTGTAATTTTGATTTGTTAATGTGTGTTTACATTTTTGGGGCAGATTCTGTGCATAATTCTTCTTCACGTCCAATGAGGGTTGTAAAGTTGGGCAGACATTTCTGGTTGTTCATCCACCTATAGTCTTGCTGCAGAACCTGAGTGTTGAATGCACATCTGTTTCACAGATCTGGCTTATTTGTATGCAGACTGTTGGTTCCTTGTCTTTCAGGCAGATGTGTGACTTCAAAGGAAGCCTATTCAGTCGACTCTTATGACATGCTTGTTGGTTAGGCAGTGGGTCTGTTCTTGTTCACTGCACAATAGGGCCTTTGAACTCACTTTGAGAGGTATATAATTGAACAGTCAGTCTTTGTAGTCAGCAAAAATACAGAATACCAAACACAAAAGTACACCATACCATATTTTTATCTCTATCATTCATTCCCTCTGTTGTGTTACCATAAGTATAGTATATTATTACGGTGGCAAGGAACAAGATCCCTACGGTTCTGGAGGAACCGGTGAAGAGCCTCGGTCGCGTCTACAATTCGAAGTTATCTGACAGAGCGGAAGTCCGGCGAATACATGAGTCACTGGCTACAGGTCTGCTCGCGATCGAGCGATGCAAACTGATCGGAAAATTCAAGGTATGGTGTCTCCAATTCATGTTGATTCCGAAGCTCCTATGGCCACTGCTAGTCTACGAGGTGACGATGACTGCAGTGGAAGCCATGGAAAAGAAAATCAACACAGCCTTAAGAAAGTGAATTGGTGCACCGCCTTGTCTGACCGACGTGGCTCTGTATTGTAAACAGGCAAAGCTGGTACTTCCGTTCAAGTCGATAACCGAAGAGTTTAAAGTCGGCAAGGTAAGACTCGCCATGCTCTTGCGCGAGTCTTCAGACCCAAATGTCATCCCTGTCCAGCCCGCTCTAAAGACTGGTCAGAAGTGGAGGGTCCTCGATGCGATAGAATCTGCTCAGAACGCACTAAAATTGAAGGAGATAATAGGTTACACACAAACCGACCGTCGAGGCCTAGGGCACGGGAAAGTCAATTGGTGGTCAAAGGCCTCAGCCAAAGAACGCCGAGACATGGTGATACAAACGGTGAGGGACAACAAAAACGAGGTTCGGGTCCAGAAAGCAGCCCAGCAGTCGCAGCAGGGCCATTGGGTCAGCCTGGAGAGCGCATTGCCAAGAGTACTCAAATGGGGTGAGATCTGGCGGATGACCCCGCTGCGACTGAGCTTTATCGTTCGTTCGGCGTACGATGTATTACCGTCTGGTGTTAACATGGTTAAATGGTCTGCGACCAACGATCCGACTTGCCCGTTGTGCAAATCAAAGCAAACTCTTGAGCACGTCCTGTCCGCGTGCAGGAAAGCTCTAGGTCAAGGCCGCTATACCTGGCGCCACAACAAGGTGCTAAAGGAGTTAGCAGCCATTGTCGACCAGGCTAGAATGAGGGCTAATGCCAGAGCCAGTTCTAGTATCGTCCCCATTCGTTTCCTCAAGGCTGGGCAGGTTCCAAAAGGTAAGGTCAACAAAAACGCATTCGCTCCATCTGTGCTAGACTCTGCGAGGGACTGGTTACTGGCGGTTGATCTGCCAGGACATGAACGGTATCCCGAGTTGATCCGTAAAACCGGCCTGCGACCGGACATCGTTCTCCATTCTGCGCAAAAAACGGCAGCTCATCCTGATTGAGTTGACGGTCCCGTTTGAGTCGCGTATGGAGGAGAATCACTTGTACAAGCTCGAAAAGTACAGTGATTTAGCAGCCGGTTTGAGGAGAAACGAAGCTTACACGGTACGGGTATTTGCCGTCGAAGTGGGAGCGAGAGGCCTCGTTTCCACTTCGCTCTACAATGTGGTGAAAGAACTAGGATTGCGCGGTAATGAACGGAAACGGACACTCAAAAAACTGGGAGAGGCAGCCGAAAGGGCCTCTAGCTGGCTTTGGACGCAGCGCAACAACGTAGGGGACGGGCCTCGGTGAGCTGGTCCGGGTGTCTAGCGGAAAAGAGTTTCTCATCCCTTTGAAAGTCCATCGTGTCCGAATTGTCTGCCAGTGTCCCTCTGCCAACTGCTAATATAAGTCCAACATGTGTCCAGTAAACCAAAGTAAGCTTGTCGCTCGGTCGTCCAGGCATGCGGACTGTTTTAATTACGCTGTCGCGGCGGCTTCTTATCTCACAGTACCTCCTTCGAAACCACTAAGTCGTCTTGTCTCTGGCCGAAATAATAACACCATCCGGTAATTCTGTGCAGCGGGGAAGCATCCCTGAGCTTCATGAACTCAGGTGGGCCCACCTCCGAATATGTTTAGGAATCGTGGGCCGAAACGTGTGTCGACGAGGATAATTTCTACTGATGACTGTAGATCCCCGCTGTACTTGCTCCCTGTGAGTTTATTCTTATCTTATTGTGTCTGTTTCACCAGCTGGGACATCAAGAATGCAACCTGGGCAATCACAGAGATACTGCGCCCACTTATCGTCAATTTGGACTGGCAGAGGGGAGGACAGACAGTCTTCAAATCTGTTAACTTTGCTGGCTACATTGGTGTATTGACCGCTATTAAGCCTGTAAGATGTTTGTAACTTTTCAGATTACATGTTATTATCTATACTTTTAGATGTTTTATATTGTCTACTTGGTAAAACTTGTTGTTAAAGTTCTTTTTCTTCAGCCTTCCTAACCCTTGAGATACACTGGTGCAGAATTCACACAGAAAGCTCACGATTAAAAGTCAATGTATTCACACCAGGATAAATGGCTAAATAGCTTTCACATGCAATGACTAAGAAGAATACCTGGCACTAAGAGGCAGGAAGTGATCACAAACAGTGAGATGTTGAAAAGAGCAGGTATTACATTTGTTCCCAGTGCTCGGTCTACGAAAGCTCAGGGGGCTGGGTCACACCTGGAGAATGGAGGATAACAGTGTTCCTAAGGACATCCTCTATGGTGAATTAAAGATGGGTAGAAGATGTCAAGGCCGACCTCTACTACAATATAAGGATGTGTGTAAGCGGGACATAAATGATACAGGTATTGAGGTGCACTCATGGGAATCAAATGCCATAGACCATTTTGTGTGGAGCGGGCACATCAGGAAGGGAACGAGAATGAAGGAAGAAATGATTACAGAAAAGATGAGAGCTGAGCGTCTGAGAAGAAACAGGCTAAACACAAAGGTTCACATCAATGGTCCTGAAATCCTATGCTATAACTGTAGAAGACTTTTGTCAATGTGGGCGGGTCTTGCTAGTCACCTTGGCCATCGCCATTGGCTGTGAGTCCCATCCTTCTTCATAGCTCAATATTGTCTGGAAAAAGGGAAAGGTGCCAATCATCACGACATTCATTTCTCTGACTGGCTTTCTCTTTCTGTTTGGTGTATTGTAGATTTGCCTATCTCTTTACTGTGTTCTTGGTCTGCTCTTCCTACTCCCTTCAACTCTTTTGTGCATGCAGTGTTCGGTGGGTGTTGTGTAAACATCATGCTGACTGCCTTTACTTCCGCTGACACTTTCCAATTTAGGCTGGGTATTTTTTAATGGGACAGGTTAATTTTTGACTCACCCGAAACCATTGTATGTCATGAAGCTGTAACATACTAGACTGTAGACAAGGACTATACTTTGTAAATGTCTATTCTGTTTACAGAAACTGTTTACTCTGACAGTGAATGAGCGGTTTAACATTGATGGTGGTTTTATTGGTAAGTATTAATTCAAATATATATATATTTTTATTGGCTGAATGCTATCATTGTGGTTTTATTATTATTACTTTAGTGGTTGGGAGTCGCCGTGGCAGAGCGGCTAGACGGGCGCCGGGAATCGGAAGGTTGTGGGTTCGCTCCCTGGCAGAGCCGGACTTTTCTTCAAAAATGACCTTGGCGTAATGCTGACCACATCACCCATCTTGTGTCGTTGGTCTATAAAATATAGGTCTAGCCCTATATGCCCTATACACCTAAAGGAGTCGAACAGGGTCCTTTACTTTTTTTTTTTACTTTTTACTTTAGTGGTTATTGTTTTAAATGATGTTAACAATAATTCTTGTTTCATTGGGTTAAAATTATCTTTTACAAATGTTTTCAGTTTGTTGGATATCTTTTATATATTATATATCTGTATATCTATGTGTTATCGTGTATCCAAAGTTTTTTTTAAGTTCTTCAAATTATTCATAAAACTTTGTTTTGAGCATGTCACTTCTAACTGTTCTTCCCTTAGGTGTCATCAAATGGTTGCTTGGTGACCATAATGAAACATGGATGAGTTTTCTGACACGGAGTGTGATGGAGAATGCCACCAGTTTCCAAGATGCAAAAACCAGACTAGAAAAGACGGTCATGCTTGCTCCTGCATATTTTATACTGGGTGGCAATAGTTCTGGCCAGGTAATCTCATTCTTATTCTTGTATTTTTCCCAAGACTCTGGTTACCAGTGAAACATTGAATGTTGTTTTGAATGCATGAATATCTCCTTACAGTTGTGCTGGCTTTTGGGGGTTTGGGGGGGGGGGGGGGGGTGGTGGGGGGGGACTTGACTGAGTTAGGAACTATTGATGGTCAACAATTGTAACACAAATTCACATCAGTTTCTACAAATTCCACCATTGCTTGCATACAGATTGCACCATCGCTTGTAATGTAAACGCTCTTTGAAAAAAAAAAAAACTTTCCACGAGCTCTTTATGGCCTTCAGAAAGAAAACAGCTCTCCACAGTAAACAACTTATAGGTAGGCAACCATCTCTGGGGACCATGGAGTTGTGCCGCTATTCTTGGGAACAGTGTCTGCTATGACTGTGGAGTCAAATGCAGGAATGGCAGTTTCTGTTGCATAGTTCACATAAAAAACATTGTTGCTCTTATCTTTTCCAAGGTTGGTTTTCTCTCAGACGTCTCCTCTATAGCTTGCTGTGTTTGGCCTCTTTCAAACTGCGATAGCCCACGACTGGCTCCAGCTGACGGGCTGTGCTGCTGATCTCACTGGGTCAGGCTAACGATGTGTTAACGCAGCGGTTCTCAAAATGGGTGTCGAGGCACCCCGGGGTACATGCGGCATATGTCATAGGTGCCACGGCAATAATCAAGAAAAGTGGGCTAAAAACTGTGAAATTATTAAAGAAGACATGCAGATACTTAAAAGTTAAAATTTAAGTTGTCTTTCCTCGCCACTGTCGAAAATAGTGTATTTCTTGTTTGAGAACCGCTGTGTTAACGCATTGTTAGCCCAACCTGTTGACATCAGCAGCATGGCTCTTCAGCTGGAGCCGGTCGTGGATAGCCCATCTTTCACTGTCTGCCTCCTAAGGAGTCAGTCTCCAGCTAATCTATGCAAAGTGTCTGGGTCACTGTTGATGTCTTTCAGGTCGCGTTTGCAAACATTTTAAAGCCATCAGTATTAAATTAGTAAATATTACTCATATTAACTAAGTGTTTATCTTTAACGAGTTCATGTTAATGAGGGTTTACTGTATTCATGTTTAGGGTGCTGTAATAACCAGGTCACGTGAAGCTGCCATTGATGTGTGGGAAATGAGAAATGCTTCAGGCTGGTACATCCTGGAAACAAACTATGATCACTGGAAAGCTCCCCTGATTGTTGACGATCGTAGAGGACCTGCCCATAAATGTATGGGTCAGATGGGACAGCAGGTTTGTAGTCTTTCTTACATATAGGACCTGCCCATAAATGTATGGGTCAGATGGGACAACAGGTTTGTAATCTTTCCATAAATGTATGTGTCAGATGGGACAGCAGGTTTGTAATCTTTCTTATATAGAGGACCTGCTCATAAATGTATGTGTCAGATGGGACAGCAGGTTTGTAATCTTTCTCATGTAGAGTACCTGCCTATAAATGTATGGGTCAGATGGGACAGCAGGTTTGTAATCTTTCTTACATAGAGGAGCTGCCTATAAATGTATGGGTCAGGTGGGACAACAGGCTTGTAGTCTTTCTTATGTAGATGACCTGCCCATAAATGTATGGGTCAGATGGGACAGCAGGTTTGTAATCTTTCTTATGTAGATGACCTGCCCATAAATGTATGGGTCAGATGGGACAGCAGGTTTGTAATCTTTCTTATGTAGATGACCTGCCCATAAATGTATGGGTCAGATGGGACAGCAGGTTTGTAATCTTTCTTATGTAGAGGACCTGCCCATAAATGTATGAGTCAGATGGGACAGCAGGTTTGTAATCTTTCTTATGTAGAGGACCTGCCCATAAATGTATGGGTCAGATGGGACAGCAGGTTTGTAATCTTTCTTATGTAGAGGACCTGCCCATAAATGTATGGGTCAGATGGGACAGCAGGTTTGTAGTCTTTCTTATGTAGAGGACCTGCCCATAAATGTATATGTCAGGTGGGACAGCAGGTTTGTAGTCTTTCTTATGTAAATGACAATGTTAGAGGACCTGCCCATAAATGTATGGGTCAGATGGGACAGCAGGTTTGTAATCTTTCTTACTTGACTGTCACAGTATCACATGACAGTTCTCAAGCAATTGTCAGTGCATGACTGCCACTGCATTCTGTTTGACTCTTTTAGTTGTTTTATTATTACCTATCTTTCTTACAAGACTGCTTTATATAACTATTTTACATGTCTATCTTATGAAACTATTTAACATGGCTACCTTGTTTGGTTGGTGTCTGTGTTGCAAATGCGCTTCGTAATGCATAGTTCGATCCCAGCTGCAGGCCTTGTGTTTTGCATTAGTTTTGACAGTGGTATCAAAAAGCTTACCATCCAGAAAGCAATGGCAAACTACTGGACGTAAACTTGCCTAGAAAAACCACAACAGCCAAACAATGCTGGGGTTGGTTCTGCAACGTCCTGTAAAGGATATACAAATGACTAACCTTACATGGCTATCATACATAATTATCTTAGATGGCTGCCTTACATAACTTCATTACTTAGATCTCTCCTTACAGCACTGAAGATTTATAGAATGCCTAACATTTTTATGTATTTTCAATCAAGAGGCACAATTATTTCTTTTATAATGTAGTTGGTGGTTTCTAAAGGTGTCATTAGGTGACAGCAACATCTAACTTTATGTCTCTCTTCGTAAGGTGGCGCTAGGTGTTGCATGTGCATTCGCAACGCAGAAACAAAATGGTGACTGTACTTACGGAGTGTACCCTCAAAGAACAACATGCTGTTGCACATTTTTTAGGGGGCAAAAAGGCTTCCTGCAAAGGACATTCATAAGGAAATGCTTCCTGTTTATCCTGACAAATGTTCATCCCGTAAAGCGATGCATAACTGGATAAAAAAATTTTTTCTCAAGAACACTCTAAAACTGTTGATGAAGTCCAATCTGGTCGTCCTGTTGAGATTGCAACAGATACATCCATGCAGCGAGTGGAGGAGATAATAAGGGGTGAAAGGTTGACTCTGTAGCAGCTGCAATAGGGTGCTCACATGGTTCAGCATACAAGATAATGCATGATCGCTTAAAATTTAAGAAAGTGTGCTCAAGGTGAGTACCCCGACAATTGACGGACGACCATAAAATGAACCAATTAGGCCTGTCCTTGCAGCATCTCTGTTGATGCCCAGATGAAGGAGAAGCCATGCTGAACAGGATTAATACTGGGGACAAATCATAGGTGCATCAGTACCAGCCCGAATCTAAGCGCGCTTCACTGCAATGGAAACATCCTCCTTCTTCACCTTGTGTTCAAAACAAAAACTCAAGGTTGTGCCATCAGCAGGGAAAGTTATGCTGACAGTGTTCTGGGATTCTCAAAAAGTGCTTTCAACCAATTTAAAAAAAAAAAAAAAAAAAGCAGAGGTGACAGTGTGGATGCTGATCCATTCTGTAGAGTTCTATCCTTCTTCTTCTTCTTCTTCTTCTTGTTCACCAGCTGTGAATTCCGGTGGTAAGTCGCGGTTGTTCGTCCAAAATGGACTTTTGGCTTTTACCTTGACCTGAGTTTTGCGTGTACATCCGTTTTACTGGCTTATTTGTTTGCAGTTCTCGTTCCCCGCCTCTCTGGCAGATGTACTCCGACTTCACAATGCAGTCGAAGGAAACGTCCAGGCCTGCTGCCTAGAGGAGCACTGCTTCTTCATTAGGCTAGACCACACACAGCTCAGTTAACTCAGGAGAATATTAACCATCTAGGGTGGGAACTTCTGGAACATCCACTTTACAGCCCCGACTTAGCCGCAATGATTTCCATTTTTTTAGTCACCTGAAAACCCACCTTGGTGGGAAACATTTCACAAATGATGCAGAAGTTAATTGTACAGTGAAAATGTGGTTTAGAAAACAGAGCATGCAGTTCTATTCTGCAGGTTTAGGAGGACTGATGAAATGATAGGACAAGTGCATCAGTGTTGGTGGAAATTATGTTAAAAAATAAAACAACAATGTGTGTGGGGAAAAATAAATGGTTTTCAAGTTATGAATTTTTTTTTAAAGCAACCATTTGTGACTAACTTATTGACTTCCCCTTATATAATTATAGATTCATTTCAATTGTATTTTCTGTGTTCTTAAATATTCTATAAATGCTACTTACATGTATAATTTTCAGAATGTTGGTTTTGCTGGGATATTTAATGTCTTGTCGTCTCAGCCAGTCCTCAATAAGGTCAGTATGTTTTGTAAATTGTATATAAAAGAGTTATAAACAAAAATGCCATAGTTTATTTGAATAAATGTCTTATTGTGAGAGAAAGGAAGATGTATGGCACGATTTCAGTTAAAAAAACTTATGTCAGAAATAAAAAAAAAAAAATATTAAAAACCCATATATTGCAAATACGCACGAGTGCGAGCGCAAAAGGGAAAAGTCATTAGGTAAAGGCAGTTGTATCCAGTCTGCATGGAACAGTATGCAGAAGAAAAAAATATTGTTTCCGGACACAGAAAGGCCCCTTTCTGTACCCAAAGTACATGTCACGATGATTTAGCAGTAAATACATGTGCGCCAGCTCATACAAGAGGGACAGACACAGCACTGTTAACATGCACTGTGGAAGAGCACAAAAGTGTTATTGTTTTTTTGTTTTTTTAATGGGCAAAGGGTGTTAAACTGTCTGAAGTCTATTGAAGAATGAAGGTTCAATATGGAGACAGCTGTTTGTTTCCGAATGTATGAATGGGTGGAAAGATTTAAAAATAGAGAATGCTCACAATCCAGTCAAAACGACAGGGTTGTCTTCTCTCAGAAGGAGTTTTGTTGCTGCGTGACAACCCCTCTTCTACGTGGCTGCACATACTGTGGATACATTACAGACTGGTTTGAAGTATTCAAACATCCAGCATACAACTGAGACTTGGCACCATCAGACTTTCATTTGTTTGGCCCATTGAAAGAACATTTCCAAGGTCAGAGATTCGCATATGACAATGAGGTGATGTCAGTGGTGCAAACTTGGTTACTAACCACACTCAAAAACTTTTTACCTGGCGGGCATCCACAATCTTGTGGATTGGTGGATAAGATGTGTTGCAAGGCAGGGAGACTATATCAAGAAATAAGAAACAGAGCATTTTGTTCTGGCCGCTGGTAAGAAACTTATATAAACTGATTTCAGATCACAACATGACCTCATAGGAGAGATAGGCACAAATATGCATGGTGTCAGTTAAATAAATGTTTCTATGGAAAATGTAGATAGGGCATGATTTTATTTGAACATTGGTGAAATACGTATGAGAGAGAAAAACAAATGTTGAGTGATTTCAGTTGATATTTATATGCTGAAAGAGTTTAGGACATGTATAGTTGTGTATGGGCCTGCTCCACGTTCTTTCAGTTGCTTATCATGTTTATGTCACATTTAATACTTGGATCTAGTTACATCAGTTGGTGTGTAGGGGTCGATCTTTTCTGCTCCTTCAGTGATCACTTGTGATGCGTCTCTTCTATCTTGGTTCCTTGCTAACACGTCCTTGGTAGTCCCTCACAAGATTGAAGCCCTCATTTAGTTTTCCATGAGATGAAAGTCAGTCCCACGTTAACCCTTTTTTGTGTGTAGCAGTGTTAGTGATTAGTGAGAATTATGATTACAGCACAGGAGACAGATCCATAGATGCTCTGATCTCTTCTTCAGAAGCTCCACAAGCATAAAATGACTGATGACGCCTGTTCTATGTTGTTTAGTCAAATGTCTTGTCCTCTTGGTGACTTATTCATTTCTTACAGCTGCAGGCTATACCCCTGTGTCCATCAGCTTAGAAAATGATACAGAGTCATGCCTTTTGAAGTCTTTGTCTTCATTCTAAGTGCTGCACATGGCATTGATAACATCACTTCTTTCCAGTACTGGACCAACCACAGCAGTTTTATAATCTTCATTTTAGGTTACAGTACTGGTTTTCTTTTCCCCCTACTCAGGGTCCAAACTCACAGATAATTAGCCCACTGGCCATTGGATATTTGTCAGTGCAGGAAAGACAATAAGAAACACAGCTAGTCACCTCATCTCATAATTCTAAGACCTGGTATTTAATTATTTCACCTCTCAGCTTGATAGTAGTGCAGTGTAGATCTGATAAGGAGAACTGACCGGGGACCCAAGAAATATTTTTTTTATCCAAAATTCCTCTTGTTCAGATAAGAGTTCAAGCAATAAAAATTGCTGGGCGATAAATAAATTGTTCTTCACAACAGAAATTCGTCACAACCAAGATCACCCAGTCTGCCCTGTATCTGCATTATCTGCTTTGATATTTACAGTCGATAAACCTGATGCTTGACCTATATACCTATATGTTTTCTCAGTTAACAACATACACGGCGCTGATGCATGTAGCTTCAGGAAATCTGATCACGTACATCCAGACATGCAAGGATCCGTGTGCTCCATGGTAGCATCCAAGCATGGATAACTGATTGTTATTGTTGCCAGTTTTTCTGTCTTACAGTTCGCTTTAAGCTAATGTTGAAAATAATTATTGGAAATGATTGTCAGTTCGGTCCACGTAATGATAATTAAAGTTATACTCATTGTTAGTTAATACATATCTTTGCAACCTTAAGAAACTCTGAGCATTGCCTTATGTTCTGCCGGGATCTCCTAACCATTAGACGTTCATTCCTTGCACTCTGTCATCATTTCCATGGCTGTAGAACATTTCCCACAGTTGTGTACTAAGTACAGCTCAAACTCTACAATATACTGTGATACCACAGGTTCATACAGGATAGGCAATTTCAGATATCGATTCATCTTGTTTTTCTATTTTGACTCACTGCTTATGCCATTAGTGTCACAAGTAGAGTTAGATGTAGTTTCCTGTCCTTTTCAAGTTGCGTAGCTTGTGTTAATGTCATTGAATTTCTGTAGTGTCTCTTTTACTCTCTCCAACCTTGTCTTTCTTGGTCTGCCTCTTGCCTTGTTAATTATAAGGGATGACCTATATCCATGACCAGAGTGCCAGTTCTCTCCATGGAAGTGTATCTAAAGATGTGAGATATATCTTAATGTTTACTACCGTGTAACTGAAGAGACCAGCATGGTCACCCGAATGTACATGAAATTTTCGCATGTTTATGAGAATTGCCATGTTTATTTAGCCATTAAATTGTCTTGCTTTTGTAAACGTTCCAATATTTGCTGTGTAATAAATACACACCATACTATGCAACAATGAAGGGGCTTCATTTGATCTAATTTGACAATGTGAGCACACCAGCCATCTGATTTAAAAAAATTATAAGTTTGCACAGAACGTGCACTTAATAAAGGGGGAAACGGGGATGGGATAATCCATTGCGCTGCAGCCTTATCTCTGACTAAATTCTAACAGATGCAAACATGTGTCAGGTCTCAGACGACCTGATAGGGGCAGATGTCTCCAGCATTCACATCATCTTTCTGTTGTGCATTTGATGTATAATAGAGCTTGTGATTGATCCCTCCATTCCATTATACCCTGTGCAATCCTTTCAAGATTGTGCATGGAATCTAGTCCAACACCTGTGACCTTTCTCAACTAACATTTGTCAAAAGATTGAGGTGGGAGGGGGTGCAAGGGTTTACTCACCAACAATGAATTCAAGTTGAGAGAGGAAATCCTGCTCACGATCCCCATTTCCTAAAAACTGTTTTCCAATAGAGTCAACCAAACAACAGCCAGTCAGCAGGATAGTCGGTCATATACCATACTTTGTGTTTAAGTAAATCTATTGTATCTCTGTAGTTTGATACCTGATTTCATCAATGCTCTTCTGTGCTAAAGTGTGATGTTAAACCTGTTGCTCCAGAAAGCTGCAACCTGTCGTGTCCAATTGTGACTTTCATTCCCATAAATGTGGCCTAACCGGCAAGGTTGCAGTAGCTTGTTCCTGAGAAGCCTAGTTAAGGGTTTCTGTTTGCACCTGCACAGTGTCTAGGAAGCCTCGGATATGAATGTAGTTACTAAAAATATTCTTTAGGGTCTTTTTTATGTGAATGAAATAGCTTTTGTCAAACTATTTTGACATCAAACTACGTAACCAATACATATTTAAGAACCCTGGAAATGTATTCCATTTAATTCTTCACTCTGTTCATGTTTAGTGATTACTCCTTTCCTATATTTAGAGAAAGTTTTGTATACAAAATGTAGATAAATATAAGCAATTATTCTTTATAAGACATTATTAGTGACCTGTATCAAAATTATAAGTTTATTGGTGATATTATTTTTAAAGCATTGCTTCAGGAATTCCCATGTGTTCCTGTCTTATTTGTTATTTTAGGGTGAAAGTTTTACATACAGAGCTGTCAGAATGTACCATTCAATAACTGACACAAAAGTTGCTTGTAAATCTGCATGGAGTAGAAGATGATTGATTATAAAGTGAATACACTGGGCATAGATACTTTTCTGTTGAAGTATATATTACTCACACACTCGAAAGGGAAGACATTCTTCTGCCTTTCATATCTTTATGGAGATAGAACTACCACCACTATCTTATGTCATATCCTCTAAGGTATGTTTATGCCTTCCTTCAGTGACTTTTTCCATTTTACACTCATTGCTGTTTGTAATTATCGCTCAAGTGTGCTACAGCCTCTGATTGTACAAGAATGCTTCATCACTTCCATTTGTGATTGTGTTGATTGATGCCCAGACTCACAGGGATTTTTCACTAATGACACTCTTCAGTCTGCCACATGATTCACTGATTGATTGTAAAAAATTATGCGGCTTTGTGGTTTAGAAGTTAGCAAAAGTTGATGAACATGATTCACAGTCCTAATTGTGCCTGATTTTGATTTCCGTGGTTGATGGTTTAGAAACAAATTGTCTTCACTGCTCTGAGGAGGTGATGCAGTAAGCATGCTCTCAGCAAGGTCAAGACCCTGCCATGTAATATTCTCACATGCAGCAGCTTTTACTCTGGAGACAGCACACTTTATAACAAGGCTATTCAACTGGCAGCTTGTGGCCTGATTCCGGCCTGCAAAGATCTAGCAAGTGGCCTGCGGATCATTACCATTTGTATTTATGATCTTTTTACACTGGGTCTTGGGCCACTAGCCCATGACAATCCCTGTGTTCAAAATGTTGGCTCCTGAGTAAACTGACTTGAATAGCCCAGCTCTTTAAGCTTTCACATAATTCACATATTATGAAACATACAGACTTTACATGCAGCCACTTTCTGTTTTGAGCATGAACATTTGTTTTTCTACTGATGCATATGTCATCTAGCACTGAAGACTACACTATGTCAATATGACTCTGAAAGATGCTAACTTACTGTTTTTTTTAAGAGATGCAAATAAATCAACTGTAATTTTACTGTCTCATTCTTTTATATTTTCAATATATAAAAAAAAAAAAAGTAAAGTTCCTTTTTCACACCTTTCGGCGCAGGGCATATGGGCAGAGCATCCCATATTTTTACAGACCATCAGCACTCTGTGGGTAATGTGGTCAGCATTACGCCGGCATTTTCAATATGTATTTTTGTAAATTATGAGAGCTTCAGTGGTCCTGTAGCTAAGATGCTTATCTGCTGGCCTGAGAACCATAGGTTTGAATCACTGTCAAGGTGGGGGGATTTGATTTTTCAGTGGAGCTGGACTCCCAAGTTGACCCAGCATAAATTGAGAATCTGAAAATTATTTGGACAGTAAAGGCAGCTGGTTTGGACCTCAACATCCATCTAGTCGTAATTGTTTTATGCGTAATTGTTCTATGAAAGTATTTTGCTGGCCCCATGTACCCAATTAGCTTCAGTGTGTTTAATTTAATTTTTTTTTAAAAATATATATTCATGTTAGTGGAGATGAGAAAGAGATTTCTCAAGCGCTAAATAAATCCTATCCTGATATGCAAAAGTGAATCATAGACAGCTGGACAATTATTTGGAAGTGGCAAAGATGCGGTTGTAAAGAAGAATGGTAGAATGCCCTGTACATATAAAAATAGTAGTGAAACTATCTTGAAAAAATATTAACTTGCAAAGATAGCTGATTGCTCACATGGGCAGAAGACAATCTACATTCTTTGGTTGTGTCATCAGAAAGAGAAAATGGAGTACATTGTGACAGTGGGAATAGAGGCAGGGGAAGACAGAGAGAGAAAATTCTGGACAGTTTGACACCATTCCATAGAAGATCATCTGTGTCAGAACTGACTGAAAGTACGCGAGACAAAAGGTTGTGAATAGACATGACTATGAACACTATTCATCATATTCTTCTTCTTCTTCTTCTTGTTCACCGGCTGTGAATTCCGGCGGTAAGTCGCGGTTGTTCGTCCAAAATGGACTTTTGGCTTTTACCTTGACCTGAGTTTTGCGTGTACATCCGTTTTACTGGCTTATTTGTTTGCAGTACTCGTTCCCCGCCTCTCCAGCAGATGTACTCCGACTTCGAAGGAAGACGTCAAGCCTATTTCTAGGTTGACTGTGGCCATTGTTTTGTGTGGGTCGAGATGTTGCCTCATTTGTGTGGTGTCCTCTTTGACTTTTAACAGGTGTGGCCCCCGGCATGTCGTCCTTAAGGCAGCTCTATGTAGAGTTTTCAGCCCTCAAGGGAAGGCAGGGGCAGATCATGGGCATTCCCCGCCATCCAAGGGGGCTTCCATAAATGCAGACCCGACACATGATGCTCTGGTTCTGGGCTCACCCAAGGAATCGTCACGTCCTGCCCATGACTGCTTAACCTCACAACCGTGTATTGAGCTTCCCGCGCTACAAGGATGCGCTCTCCGGAGATCAGCGGGGAGCAGCCCGCAGGTCTAGGACGTCTGTGGCCACACAAATAGGTACATTCATTTTCATCTTACGTTAGACACCTTTAACGTTGTTTCAGCTGTGCCCTTAGCACGACAGAATGGGGAAGCAAAATGCGTCAGGCGTGGCTTTACCTGTTTGGTCCCAACACTCGGGCGAGTTGGACCAGTGGATACGGACATTCGGACTTTTCCTAATCGGTACGAATTATGATCGTCGGACTCTGAGCTTGCATGTGTGCCGTGGGGTATAACTTTGTCGGACATTATTTCCAAGCCAGCATATGAAGAGTTGCTGCCGTGGTGTACCTCAGCGCGGTGACGACGACACTGAGGATTGAGGATGTACGTAGGTAGGATCTTGCTGCGAGAATTCGCCCACAAGAGATTTTACTCGTCTTGGCTGCGGGTAAATCTCTCGGTCAGGGTTGAGTCTCAGCAGCACAGTTTTAAATTCCCTCCCGAATTTTAACCAAGAGTTGTCATTTGATGGTACATTTAGCAAGCAATTTTTAGTTTTGTTAGACTTTTCACCCATGCGTTTGGGGACGGGCTGGTGAGAGCCAGAAAGGACACTACACCTCTAGGGGCCGCCAGCTCCGATATCCCCTGCCAACTCTGTTAATGCTCATTTGA